TCAAAATCCTGGCTACAGGCATGAAGAAATAGTCATATATTGCATGCTCAATTTTTTTCTGTGAAGCAAGCATCTGTCACAATTACTTTCAAATTGACATCCTAAAGATTGGTCTTTACTTCATACTGAATCATCTCTACACTTACAATTGTTACTCCACTTCAATTTCAGGTACCGAAGGGTTTGCCCTACTTCAGTGTGGACTTCGGAATGCAGAGTGGTTTTGCCCATGTGATTGAGGATGAGCAAATCTTCCCTCACTACTTCGGCAGGGTAGGGACTGTTTTAGATCTCAAATTTTTATTTATATTTTTGCATGAGGGACAATTCTTTCCCAGAAATCTTAAATCTTTGATTTTGTTTACCTTCGCAGAAGGAAAACATATTGCTTTTGCTCAGTTTCTTCTCCAAACAAATAAGGTCAATGACCTGGACCAGACATCTGTCACCATGGTAACTGGTGTTGTCACAGACACCCTGTGATGTTGGATTACACTATGTTGCATTACGGTTGGAGGGAATGGTCCCCATAAATATGAATGTGTAAGAATAAAGAGCAGTAGTTTGTTGGGCTAGAACATGATTGTGAAGGTAAATATTATATGCAAATGTTAGGCCACACTAATTTGATTTGTTGGTTCTCGGATTTTTCCAGAAAAAATATGAAGCGACAGGGCGAAAAAAATAAAAATAGGTCTAGGCATCCTATTATAGGCTTAAATGCTACGGAATGAGCCATGAAGTCAACACAAAAGGCTGGGTTAAAATTTAAACATTGAATTTTGAACTTTTAATCAAACCACTGCAATGATAGATGGAAAAACTGTAAGAAATAGGAAGAAAAGGACTTTCCTCAACTGTTGGGGGCAAAACATGAGCATTTTTCAGTTGATTCAGGACCGGAATCAAATTTTTTTTTTGAAAAAAACGAAGAGGCGAATCCGAGAACCAACAAATTAAATTGGTGTGGCCTTACCTGTCAAGTTATTTTTGTCGCATTGGATGTGCTTCAATCACAACCATATTTAGACATGTGTACATGGTTATTCAAAGACATTTGCCTGTTTTTGTCTACTAGGAAATCTTGGGTGGGATGCTGGACCTGGAACCTCGATTCTTCCGCAAACCCCCCAAGGAGAGCTTTGAGGACCAGCGCAAAAAAGTCCTGAAGTTTGCAGAGCAGTGGAAACCATTCGACTGGACCAAAAATATTGGCAAGGAAGTTTAGCTCCATTGATTAAGATGATCTCTCAAGAAATTAAGAGTAAAATACAAGTCATAGACAGAAGGAAATATGTAACCAAAGCAGTAACGTTACATTTTTAAATTAACCACCGAGGACAGCCTAGAGCACCAAATAAAGATTGCAGTGTCGTTGGTCTGTGACTTCGCATTTGGATGTCCTTTTGTGTGAATGTGTTTGCTAACTTTTTAGCCACAAGTACAAATGTATTGGATATAGCTGTAAGAATAACTTCCAAAAAATACATTTACAGATATTTCAACATTTAGCACAGTACTAGTAATTTTAACATACTAGTATGCCACTGTGACACTGACTTGATTATATATAGATGGCATCAACGCTAGAGAATTCATTGACTAACAAGGACACATACTTGAAACAAATTTTGTAAAAATATCAACTTTATTTTCATCATACATTGAATGAATAAATAACAGGTTCATGTGAATAACTAATCTTACACAAGTATCCTATAGTCCACACATTGTAGCTTTATCTTGTCAGCATGTATCTTAAATCTCTGGCATGTAACGTGACTTGCAACAAGTTATTTCATAAATTGTCATTTTATATATTGTTATGTGTGAAGTACATAAGAATACTTTGATAAGAATGAAGTTCTTGAGGTGTACGACTACAAATGGTCTAACAAAGAAATTTTCAAATAGCACATGCCTATAATTGTCCGTTAGTGAACCACTATAAGCCCTACAATTTGCAACTTGCGTTTTACCAAAGTGGCAACTACAAATGGCATTAAATTTTCTCTGGCATTAAATTTGTGAGCTAATGCAATAGGATCAGAAAACAAGGTATGGAGGAGTTGTTTTCTGACAGATGTTTTCTAGGACAGCATGTTTAGTGCATGGTCCATTTCTCCAGTCTTGCTTCCGTTCATGAGTTGTTGCCTGGCTCGTGTGTCTTCTTCAGCATGGTCATGGTTTCCTCAAACCTAGGACAGGGAACATTTGGACCTAGGCATCAATAGAAAGGTATAGCTAGCAATGCAGTATCATCTCTACCAGATAAGTAGTCAGTAACGGATCATGAATAACGTATTATTATACTAGGGTATCTCTTTTAAACCTCTAGATTAATAATAGGAAATGTTGGCAATGTCAATACGTTCTTTACAGAAAAAGTCCTATATAGCCTAAGGCCACACCAATTTTATTTGTTGGTTCTCGGATTCGCCTCTTCATTTTTTTCTGATTTGCAAAAAAAAAAAAGATTCTGGTTCTGAATCAACTCAACTATGCTCATATTTTGTCCTCAACAGTTGAGGAAAGTCCTTTTCTTCCTATCGTAGCATTTGGGGCTATTATAGGATGCCCAGACCTGTTTTTATTATTTTTTTATTAGCCCTGTCGCTTCATACTTTTTATGAAAAGATCCGAGAACCAACAAATTATATTGATGTGGCCTAAGTATTATGCAGTGCACACAGGAGCCAAAATGCCTTTTCAAAGACAAAGGCAGTAAATGTGGGAATAAAGAGAGAAGGCATTTGAATTCTTTATCTGTTAGAAATGAAGTACAAAATGCTCCTAAAGTCTACATGTAACACAAGTTCCCTCAAGTTATCTTCCTTAACAACCTATAAGTAATTGTTTTCTAATGACTCCATTAAAGCAGCTTGTTTACATCTGAGGAATCCTTGGCTTAGATCTTGTACATGTACGACAGCATGCACACAGATACCTGAGTATTTTTCCTGACAGAAAGTACCTACATCTTCTCCAGCTTTGCCATCTTTTCTTCTGTCTGCTTGTTCTCAAACTGTAAGAGAGAAAAAAATGTTTTTCTTGTTATTGAAGGAGTTCAGAAGAGCATGTTAATTGGTTGAATTGTTCAGGTACAGGTTTAGGTTTGGACCTGTACCTAAACCTGTGTACCTTTACATGTACCTAAAATTTGTTTAGTCAGCTCTAGTCGGCAGGTTTTTCTAGGGTTGGCAGGTTTTTCTAGAGTTGTTCGGGAAACAGGAAACAACATTTTTTCTCCTAGGCTAGGCTTAACCACTTGTTACCTGGAAAGGGGCCACATGTGCAGATGGTGTGGACCCAGGCTGCCCCTCATTGGTCAGCTTACGGGGTGGGGAGGCCACAGGGCTCTTTGTGCTGAGGTCCAAGGGGTCGAAGGTCAGAGTTTTGGCTGGCTGAGAGCTGGGTGAGTTGAGGTTGTTCAGGATAGAGCAGCCATCTAAGGTTACCAGATAAAAAACATGAAGTCAACAACAGGATAGACATCAGGCAAATAAACATGGTAAGGCCACAGCAAGTAAATTTTATGGATGACATCCTCTGCAGACTCCAAATCTAATGCGAGCGGGCGAAAAAAAACAAGGCGGGCCAAAAAAAACAAGGTTCCTACATTATAAAATTTTGACTCAATCATTGTACGAATGGCTTTTATTCGGTGGGAACATCACATATACACAGCCAGCATCACATATCACTGCATCAAAGTAAAAAACAAAACATTAAATCAGAGCCTTTTCTTGTCTCGTCATATTCATCTGCCATCCACCTTCCGGCATAGCAACAGACATCTTTGCCCATTTTCGGCATGTTGACCACTGTCAGAAGGCAACAAAATTTTTTTTGTTTTTTTCCAAAATCAGGCGAAAATTAATGTGCGCGCTGATGTCATCCATAAAGATTACTTGCTGTGGCCTAATTTGAAATATAACAAACTCCAAACAAAAGAAAAAGGGAATACAGCATCTGAGTCCAGAATGGTAATAATAACAATGCAGCTGTAAATCCATTTATTTTTGCAGGTATTTAATTTCGCAGTATGGGGCAAGTAGGCTTTTTTAAGTTCACAGTTGAAACAATTCTGTAGTACATGGAAAACACGTGTGAGTTTTCATAAACTCAAAGAATACGTAAGAACTGAAGTGACCCAAAAGAAACAGACATACCAGTTGGTAAACCTTGTGGCAGCACCACCTTTGAAGAACTCTCGCCAGTCTGATTCTGCAAAAACATAATTGTGATATTACAGTAAACTGTTATTTGTGTTACCGGTATACGCATTACGTATTTATATTCACTGGCTGGTGGATCTTAATTACCTTTTATGCGAGATGGCAATGTGTAGCAATCTTCATGCTGACCACATGAGATTGATCTAAAAGAATTTTTCTACTTCAAGAAGACAAAGAAGAAGAAGGCAAATATCAGGATTTAACTCATTCTGAACAGGGAAAAAGAGTACATGTACCTTGGCCTCAACAATACGCAGTCTGTTCTCTACTAGCAGCAGTCGCCCCAACATGGACTCCACTTGCTCTGCAGTCAGGGCAAAGCTGCTAGGGGGCACTTTTTCCCCTGGGACATTCAGCAGGGTATCCAGTTTCTCCTCCATCAGTTTCATCCGTCCCTCCAGGATTTCAACTCGCTGCTTCAAGGATACCTGAAAAAAGCAGCGCTTGAAATTCATTTTTGGGAATAGGTGGGCGCAACATTGAAAACAAAACATATGATTCAACTTATATATACTACTTGTTCTAAGGTCTAAACATTCCTTGAGATGTCTACCTATTTGTACACAGTAAGGATTATATTACCTTCTAGAATGAAATTGAATTTATCTATAGCATTAAATGTAACAAATTCTGTTGAGCAAGCAGAGAAAAGGTTGAACAGCTTTGTGCTTTTATCGTTATATAGACTGAGTGTACAATCCTTATATAATAGTGGACAATCCATATTTGTAGTGGGTCAGTTAGTCCTCACTACTTGTGAGGATGTTTCTGACTCGGGGAGAAAAGTTGCTGTTACAGTTCTCTAGCTCTATGTCTAGAAGTGGCCAATGGCCTTGCAAAAAAAAAAAAATATGAGTATGACTTGCCTGTTCTTTCGGGGAAGTTTCCATGCTATGGTAACCAGTGTCTGCCCCACCCTTCTTGAGAGGAGGGTCACCTCTGGGGTTCTCTGCGAAGATGTCCACTGGTTCTGTCATGGCTGGCAGTTCATCCAGCATCAGTGGGGGGGCTGCAACGACCTTGGGAGGACCAAGCAGGCCTGTGTTGTCAAGGTCAATCACTTCAACACTGCCTGTAATAGGAAATGAAAGAGGAAATGTAAATGGGTCCATTCCGTGAACAAGGCTGATGGAGTGGGCCAAAAATTTGGGTAAGTCCCAATTTACTCAGTGTTGGTTTGAACATTAAGCCCTTTTGGTCATAATGAAGTATACCAACACAGATCAACTTTCATGCTATTAGACTAGTAAGACTTAGAGAAAATGTGTCTGCATTCACAGAAAATAGTGAAGCTGGTAATGCAATGACCATTTGAGTTGCATGCACACCTACATGCACTACCCACTGCAATCTATGCCAGCAAAACCTGGAAATGTACATTCAACTTAAGTATCCCAAAAGCTAGACGCCTTCCACCAGAGAAACCTGAGGAAGATATTGAAGGTGATAATTGGCAGGAACATATAACAAACAAAGAGATCCTGAACAGGCTCAAGTCAAAACCTCTAAGCGTCATCATAACAGAGTAGAGAATACAGTTGGCCGGACACACTCCAAAACAGCAATGACCCTGAGGTCCCCCAAAACAGTAGGAAGGGCCTTCCTCTCAAAAGGAAGAGACTCTGGAAGGCTGAAAAATACATGGTAGAGGACCCTCCAAGAAGATCTGAGAAGGGCGAACATCTCCTGGGAGGAAGCAGAGTCAGTCGCAGCTGATAAAAAAGGAAGTGAAAGCTTGCTGCCTGATGTGCCATCAGACACAGGAGGAACTAAGGTCTAAGGTGAGGTAAAGGCACACCTACATGTATCCTACCCTACCTGCACTGTACAGCATGCTGGTTTCCTTGGGACTTCCAGACAGTGAGGAACTGTCCACGCTGGGTCGCTGCACTGGGGACAAGTTTCTCTCTCGATTCTTCTGCTGTTTCAGCGAGCGGCGCATGGCTGTGCCTCGCTGGAACATGCCTGCAGCAAAAAAAACACTACTAATCTCACAGATACATGTCTGTATATATTCAATTTTCAATTTTATTAAAAACAGTCAACATAGCAGGAGTACATAGTACTCCTGAATTGTGTGGACTTAATTACATAAGTACAAGAGACACACAAGGCAATTACATACAAAAGTAGTGGGACATGAAACACAAGAACACTAGGTCTGCATTTGGCTATTGTACAGTCTTATTGTGCAGTGGAGGAACAAGTTGTACAGTATGTTTGTCCGTGCCTTGGGCAAACACCTCCCTGTGCTATCCGAACCGTGCTATCCGATCTGGCTCCCGGTACCAAATCATGTAGTGGGTGGTCAGGGCTGAGCACACACTTGAACAACTTGACAGCCGCAAGTTCACGTCTTTCTCAGAATATTTTAGTTATTTTAACAATACCATGGTTGAAGAAAAGCCTTATGAAGTTTCAACTTTAGATAGCCTTGAAACATCCTCACAAAACACTGAAGAATTTTTCTCAAACAACAGTTACTCAAGCAACTGGATATGATTTTGGAAACCTTTTTTTTTGCGTAAAACACAACATTCTGACCTGAGCCGGTGTTAGTCTGTGAGGGAGCAGGTTTAGCCTTGGGCCCTGTGATCCGCCGGTGTTTCTCCTGGACCATCTTCAGTACATCATACACCAGGATAACCTTATGTTCAGCAAAGCCTGCATTCAGGAACTTGTCCTTGGTGATGGTGGGCTTGTACTGGAACACATCTCTCAGCACCTAGAGATGGGCATTGAAATTGGGAAAATCCAGAATTCTTCTATTGCTCTTGCACCGAACTGGTATAGGTTATGTTCACAAAACATAAACATCTAAATTTTACTGAGAAATACACAACATGAACAAGGATCCATTAGTAGTAGTGTCAACACATGTACCCTGGTATTACACATGGGATAGATACACACTTGTATTTGGCAGCTTTGGAAGTATTTGTTTTTTTTAACTTTCACCCTTTGTTTTTTATTGATATGCAATGTATAACAGTAAACACCTGTATTCTAATGCTAATGCATGATTGTTCTATTGTTAAGCACTGAGAGGTAAAACTAACAGAATAATAAATTATCAAGTATATGTACAATGTACCGAGCAAGACACGTGCATGACATAGCAAAAATGTAGTCCAGAACTTTTACCTTAACATTTCAAGAACAACATCAAAAAAGCATAGAAAAAAGTATAACACTCATACTGTAATTACTAGTAGTAGCGTTAAGTATTGTTACACCAAATATTTTGAAATGATAACAAAACTAGACACATCTGCAATGAAGAAACGAAGGTATATATTGAGGACCACATATGGATGGCCTGGATGGCTACATCACTTTTTCTATTATAAACCATCTCACTTTGTAGACTCCCTCCACGAATCGCTGGTCTGTTTTTCCGTACAGCTCGATGCCCATGTCGTTGATCTCGGTGCAGACAGGGCGCGAGAACTCCAGCAGGGCGTGGTGCAGCACGGGGAGGAAGGCTGAGGTTGTACCTGTGGTGATGCTGGGTGATGAAGGAAGAATGAGAGCCTGTAATACTACTTCTAAGTAGAAAGGCCAATATTTGCTTTGGAGCAAATACAGCGATGGGTTCACCACATTTTACGACATGGCAGGGAAAGAATGAGAAACACAAGGGAAAACAATGATTTACATTGATATAACTATAATATGAAGTAACATACAACTAAAACAACAGTTGGATAGCTATTCCCTACTTTATTGGTTAGGATTTTTAATTGCATAATGCAAACTGTTGATTTTCAAAATAAATAAAAAAACGTTCATGCCCCGCATTCCAATGCTGGAGCAGAAAAGCTTGAAATACCTACCAAAACACTTGAATAAAGACATACTGTCAGTATGGAAATGCTCTGTGCAGGTGTTAATCAAGTTAAATCCCAACAGCCAATCAGCAAGAAATGCTCTGTGCAGGTGGAAATGCTCTGTGCAGGTGTTAATCAAGTTAAATCCCAACAGCCAATCAGCAAGAAGTATAGAGGAAAGCTGCATGCCTATTGGTTGATGCCCTGCATTCCATTGTGATGACTCATGGTAAACACGGCACACTAACACAGTATACATTTGATATAACACAGCCAAAAAACTCAAATAAAACCATTCTAAAAGCCTGTATCACAAAAATTTAAAAAACGCCTAGGGGTATTTGCCCACTGTACCTCCATACCAAATTTCAGGACCTTAGGCCCTAAAATGAAGAAGCTGAATCCATTTAAAAAATGGCAGGAGAAGAAGGAGGAGAAGGAGGAGAAGAAACATCAGAAAAAGCAATATGGGTTCACCACCACTTTGTGGTGTGGTGAACCCATAAATATACTACTACTAGCAATAATTGTACTCGTGATGGTCTGCAGCTTTAAAGCATGATTAGTGCAGCGGGAGCATTAAGCTGCCGGGACAAGACTTTGCTTTCCATTGGAGGAATAAGTAGTATTCAAAGAAGGAGGAAAACAGCAATTTCCAATTTTTAGACTAGAACTAGTGAGTACTAGAAGATTTGAGCATGAGTGGCAATCATAAAATTGATATGTAGGTTTCATGCTAGTGGTCACAGCCAGCCCTGAGTTTTCCACAAACCCTAGTTAACACATTACAGTATCATTGTATCAACTGCTTCAGTATGTACAAAATCTACTACATGTAGTACACGTATTTCGATGCGGCCACTGTATACTACTAAGTATAAGTCAGTGGGAAGAGCGATATCTTTGAAAAAGTGCGGGAGTGAGCATGGCATGACTGCTGCGTATACTTTACTTATGACGCAGTTCTCAACATGCCTCGTAGTAAACCTGACTAAAAGTTGCAGGTATTAGGAGGTGTTCTAGTCCTAGTGCCAGCCCTCACCCCTGATAGTCCAGCTCCACGGGGTACTTGATGTGTTTCAGCTCAGACAGAAGTTTGTGGATGTTGTTCTTCAAGTCCCCTGTTGCCGCCATCTTTCCAGAAGTCTACAAGAAAAATCATCATTTAGACAGAACTTTGTAGATTAACAACAAACCTCAATCACACAGCCAGTGTTGCACGCAACGGTCTAACATAATAATACCTGTTTATAAAACTGTTCGCCTAAAAAGCCAGCACTACAACGCAACACGAACTCTCCCTGCCCAGCTTTCGAGTTGAAAATGGCGCATCTACATCGTCTCGTGTTTTATTGGGCGACAGCTTTCATAACGCGAGATCTCATTGGTCAAACTAGTGCCTGTAGCCAATCAAACAGAGGGTAACTTTCAAAGCTGAAAAAGTTAGCAGGTGATTGCTAACAGACGATTCGTCAGGAGGCAGACACTAGCCACTTATTTGACAACCATGAAATTCGCAGACACCATAATGTTCCGTCGAGCTGAAATATATATGACGAAATACTTGCAATAACGACTTAAAAAAAAAAAATTAAGAGTATCGTTGGAGAGATTAATTTGTCACGTATTGTCACGTTGAGTTTGGTGGGGAAAAAATTCAGTGCAAAAGAGAAACCCCGATAAAAAAGCCTAAAACACGCTAAAAATACCCCCAAAACCCAAACCTCTGCTTGGAGAGTACACCAGGCCTTCCTACGGGGGTGCGGATCCTAGAATTCGGTAAAAAAAAAAGAGAGAAATAGCTTTTTTTAATTTTTTATTTTATTTATTCCAACATGTAATCACCAGACGTACGTGGTGACGACACGCATAAGTTTCTTCAACTTATAGCCGCCACCAACACAGGGGACAAATACATGACTCCGACAATACTGACTCCGACATTTACAATACTCATTTACACCTGAGCTAAGTGAGGAAAGTCGTGTAAAGTGCCTTTCCCAAGGGCACAAGATCGGTGGCATGTCAGGACTCGAACCCGGGACTCTAAGTTCCGAGTCGCGCACTCTGCCGCGACGCCACACGACCCCACGAGAAATAGTTGGCCAGGAGAGTCAGTTCGCGAAGGGTTAATTTCCCCTTAATATGGCAAATGAACTCTACGCGCTGGCCATGGCTAAACTCCCCTAGTAAATTATTCTCCCTATTGGCTAAATTTTACCTTTTTATGGACCAGCGTTGTTAGTCTAGTGGACTCGAAGTTAACATACGTCTCCAAGTGATTTTACAGCAACAGCTTCTTTCCCCGGATTGCAAAATCATGGAACTCTCTTCCAATCAGTTGCTTTCCCTCCGACTACAATCCACAAAGCTTCAAAACAAAGGTCCACCGCCATCTCCTGACATAACTACATTATACTCAAGTACCTCTAGCTCTATGCCTAGAAGTGGCCAAAAATAATTGGCTTTGCATTGAGCGAAACCGTTAAAGAAAAAAAAAATGTTTTCCACTATGATTTTCTCAACCAGTGTACGTATATACTGTCATGTATTACTAGGTACCATCCGGATTTTGCTCCGCTACGCTAGCCAGCCGCTACCGGCACAGGCACAGGATCCAGAATAAAAATGTTTTCCTCAAATCGTGGATGTCATTGAAGGTCAATTCTACTATTGCATGCGCAAGAGTCTGCAGGAAAATGTTTCACGTACAATGTACATGTATCTGTGACCCTGATGTCTTATTTATATCTGACAAAATTTTCAAAATTTCTACAATATCCATTTCTCACTGAAACATCTTTGAAAAATAAAAGTTTTCAATCGTACAATTGGTTTTGATTCAGTGGGAGCATTTAAAAGGAATGTTGTTGTTGTTGTCTCTATTCTCCGCTCATCTTCGTCGGATGTTAGTCTCATGTGCATAAAAGGAATGAAATACATCACTGCGTCAAAGTAAAAGACAAACAATAAATTTTTGTATAGTTTTCATGTAACATACTACAAAATTATTATTTTCTACACTGATATTGATATTGTAAATATTGTTAAGCTCATTTTACTCATTTATTTAGTTGTCTATATGTTAACTGTGAAATACTCACTTGTTTAGTTGTCTATTTTTAACTGTGCAATATTTGTTTCTCTGTTTTTAAACACTAGCATACAATTCAGCGCTACTTTCTTAGTTGCGCTGCCACATGCTAGAGATTGTACTCATCGATCAATCAATAAATAAATAAACAATTATTATTATTATAAATCGGAGCCTTGTCTCCTCTCTTCATATTTATCTGCCATCCACCTTCCGGCATGAGAACAGACATCTTTGCCCATTTTCGGCATGTTGACACTTTCAAAAGCCAACAAAATTTCTTGTTTTTTTCTCCCGAATCAGGCGAAAGTTAATGCGCGAGTCGATATCATCCATAAAAATTACTTGCTGTGGCCTAAGGTAAGGCCCACGTAACTGTAAAATAGCGTCACCTATTCTCCATTACACGTTACTTGAACCGAGAAGACTTATGAATGGAACGCCCTGTTTGGAGTCTCCGTTTCCGTTGTTTTAACGCCATTCAATACCTGGGGCAGGTGACCTCTTGACCTAGCACACCTGTTCTCACGTGACCACCTGTAGCTTAGAGACAAATTGGGCTGTGCCATTCCTTGCGTGGGGTCCACTGTTAAAATCTGTAATTTTTACAACATCAGAATTGCTTTCTGTGCGACTAAAACACCATCTACGAGGGCCACATAGGAATTCACAGCGGTGTGTGGTAATAATAATCAATATCATTTATGTAAGAATCAACTTTACGCATTTTGTACACAATGGACGTCCTTGAGCACCCCTTCACTATACATGGACAACTCTCCAAACTTTGAAGAACTTTTGTGCCGGTGCCAAGGACCCTCTCACGGTTCTAGTGGTTCCCATGGCCCGGGCACGTCCTTACCGGCAATATTGCGGCGATATCGGCATGGCAGGGCAGTAGACGAGCTACAGATTCCTCGGTAGTGCGGGAACCGCCGGCCCGCCTTCACGGAACCACCGGTACGGGGCTAAGATCCCACAGGATTTAGGACCTGATCCTTCAAAAGGTGTGCACGCAAATTAATTGAACAACCGTGATTTCTATAGAAGCTGTTTGAAACACAGTGGTGACATATGTAAAATTTACAGTGTCATTATAATATATCACAATACATTGTAGATTTAAAGATTATACAAGTATTGTACAGTCGGAAAAATTACGATGATCGACTCCGATTTCTTCGCTAATTTCCTCGTAGATCCTAGCTAGTAGAGTATAGTTTTCCAAAACAAATAGTGAACACTACTACTGGCATTGTCCAAGGATTTGTCGTTGTTTTGTAATGAAGGTTCAAATTCAGAACATGCTAGATCAGTGGATTATAAGAAAGGAAGACCAGAAATGTGATGAAATCGCACTTGCTGCAATGTTAACGTACGACATCCTAGTATTCTTACCATAAATGTCCATATCGTGGAGTGTGGTCAGCATATAACGCCAGAGGTTGTTGTCATACGGTCCATGACACTTCAAACTTTCAATTCCCATCAGGGTACCTAATCTTTTCCTCTTCTACTTGAAAAAGTTGTAGAGTTATACTCAATACATTGATGTTATAACCTGCCCTTCTCTCGAAATCCAGGTTCATCATCAGTGTACAAAAAAAGGCAAGATAAGATGTCAACTCAAATGGGACAGATTAAACAAATGGAGAGGGACTTAAAGGGTCTTAGGAAGAGCAAGGTGAGTTAAGTGGCTGTTTTTCAGAAGATAAAAAGAAGTACATCCTTTTCTGTGTTGTTGTTGTAAAATACAAGGTACTCGTTAACCAGTATCTAATCCTTTTATTGTTCTATTTCAAATGTTTGTGCATAGCAAACTAAAAAGATGTTGAGATATCGATCAAAAATATTTGCTTCACCATCCTAAGAAAATGTTTTGTTGACATGATGAGCATATTACTAATTTATTGTTTTTACCAATTACATGTACTAGTTTAACAGCATCTGTTAATGTGACCTTTCTTTCTTGATAATGTATATTGCAGGCTTGATGGTCTTTTAATATGAGTTTGTTTCACTTTTTGAATTTGTCTTTCCCAGTTGATGTCCCACTTTGAGTTTGTGGAGATGTATAACGCTATAGAACGGCATCATAATGACGTTCGCCTGGCATCCCTCACCAGCAAGGAACGTGACCTCAAGTAAGGCTTTACTAAACTTTAAGGTTTAACCCCAAGGTGTATATGGTGAGATAATCCCTGGTCACAGTTGCGATAACACAGAATAAACCACTGAGTGAGCATAGCGAAAGAGGTGGTCAATGATCATGATGAAGTCATCGCACCTGACCAGGAATTATCTCACCATATACACCGAGGATAAGGTGGGGCTTTAACATTATTATAATGCAATGTATAGCCTATCCAACTGACACAGTTATTTTAGTTATTATTTTTAAAAACATTTTTTAATCATTCAAAATAAACTACAATACATTGTTTAATAGATAAAACTACAAGTCTTTTAACACTACTTTTAGTGCCCTGTCCACTGTATAAAGATACTGTCCAAAAAGTGGTTGGTTATCCTGATAACCAACCACTTTTTTCAATATTCACTATAAATCTTCAATACGACTTAACTGTAAACCATCTTTTGCAAATTTGGGTTGAATAGAATTAATTGAATTGGGTTGAATAGAACATAATTGCTAACCTGTTCACAAATCTACTATATGATGTTGTGGCTCCATTACTTAAGTTGAAAAGGAAAAGAAAAACAAAAAAAACAGCCTTGAACTTTTAGCTTAGTCTGATCAATATTTTAGATTAGCTGGACTCAGAGGAATTAAGAATGACTGATCTGTGTACAAAACTTAAGGTTCCTAAGTGGCTAGAGGGCTTCTTAACGACTTATTCATGCTAAAAGGTCGTAAGCTGCAACTGCCTTAGTGACAGACAACAATGCACTGTTTGCCTTGTACTGGCACTGCGGTTTGGAAGGGTTGACCTGTACAGGAGGTAATAGACCACAGCAAGCCAGGTACAAAGGAGTGCACTGGTTTTCCTGGCTTGACTTATGTCGACATTCATTGTCAGTCAGGCAGAACTTCCAGTGTTTGTTTTGATCCAATTTTACTTCTTATGTAAAAACATTAGTATTCACAGTACATGTCCACATTTTGTAAACATCTAAGGCCACACCAATTTAATTTCTTGGTTAACGGATTCGCCTCTTCATTTTTTTCTGATTTGCAAATAAAAATAAAAATTCAGAATCAACTGCAAAATGCTCATATTTTGCCCTGAACAGTTGAAAACAGTCGTTTTCAT